TTTATATAATAAATTGATTTTTATATAATCAATTTATTTTATATAATCTAGCAGATTTTTATATTTTTTCAATCAGGTAACATATTTTCAGTTGCTCAAACGTATTTTCAACAGAAAAATTGTTTTGTTTAGAAACACATCTTCAGTCACCAACAAGTGCATTCACCCGCACAGACCACAAAGTAACATTGACAATGATTTTCTAGAGACACATAATACATAATCAACCGACTCAGAAAGAACTTAAGAGAAGGTTGTGTTTTATTTCCTCAAATCATTGCAACTTTGATGAGGCAGACTAGCCTTCATGGGTTATGGAATACCTTCTTTTACACAGCACTTGTCAATATGACTTCTGCAGTAGCACAGAAAATAAATTAAAAAAAAAAAATCACAGTTAATTTGTTTGTTTATATTTTGTTTTCACAGGTTCCCCTCTGAGTTACAGACTTCAGAGAACTAACTGAAAGTTTTAAGTGACTCAATATTGAACAAGATTTCAAGTGAGCTTACCAGTTTCAGAGAGCAGTTTGGTAGCTTCCAGTACCTTCTCAGTATAAACTCCAGTTTCATAGTTTTCCATCTCTGCATTAATGATGTGAATAACTCTGGCTGCACGGCCTCGGATGGCACCCGCGGTTCTGTCCAGTGTATCGACATCCCCCTCTTGGAGAGCAATCACGCACTTATTCACATCTTCCAGAATATGGTTTTCTGGAACGTAAGAAAAAAAAAATATAAATAAAGCTCATTTCATTTCATTCTCCCTCATAGCAGAGCTTACAGATTTGGGTAAACAGCAAATGTCAGTATGTTAAAAAATTGATATTTGTCCTTACCCTGTTCTGCAAAACAAATACCATTCTGTGATACTATGCCACATAACAGTAAAAATCCCTAGTGTGGTATTTATCTTTAAAAGGGACTAGGCTATGTCCTCTCACCTATACTACAAGTTCCAACCCGTAATGCTTTGAAAAACAGTCCCACTAATTTCAAACATCACACTGCATTTTATTATCATGAAAGTGTAATAAAAATCAATGCAAAAAGGAAAGCGGTCAAATATTACGTAGATGCCCTAATAAACAGTTGGGCAATTTTCTGAAAATGAATTTACACATTCCTATAAACACTTAATATATTTGCTTCATTTGTGCCTAAATAAGTTCGAAAAGAAAATAAACCATTTTGAAGACAACAGCAAATGGCCTCAGTAGATATCAGGGAGCCTGTGCATGAGCAGTTCATCTCCTTTCCTCCATCTATGCCAGAGATGAAGCCGTGAATTTTTCATGACACACAGTATAATCATACGTGACTGTGCATATTCTGAAATAGGAGTCGACAACAGTGAGTCTGCTCAGATGGTTTAACATCAAGTAGGTTTACAGACATCTTGCGAGCTGCATTGTCTTTTCTTGGCTCAGAATCAGGCCATCTACTCTTACACCATAGTATCATGGTTTATGTAGTATTCTACAAGTGAGCAAACTCACTCAGTGACTCTAAACAGCAACGTACTTTCTGCCACAGAGAGATCTAAACTGAAAATGAAATGCTGCTCTTTAGAGTAGTAATAAATAAAAGAGAATCAATCAATTCACCCACTGCTTTTTCTTAATTATCCTTGGCCACAAAAATAAGAATGACACGCTCATCTTTGCTGTTAAAAATCCCAAGGTTGGAGCATTTGAGGGTTTCAGAAATGTTTTACATGATGTTGAATTTTAAACCGCAACAACTGAACGAAAAATGAATATCCCCTGAGCCGTGAATCAGACTAACCTGCAAGGCAAAAACCTTTGTTTAAAAAACTCCCTATTCACACTTTTTAAAAAAATGTTCCTTTGCTAAAATATTTCTTCACTTTTTCCTCCTCACTATCTCCATTTTCTTTACCATGACATAGCCAAATTTTGCCCAACAAGAAGTACTTTCTGAATATGAACAGCCACTGCATTTGGAATATAAAGTGATTAAAATTATGGCCAGCCTTCTTTTGGCAGCCACTGTATTAATAAAACACACCATCAACTGTGACGCTCAATATGAAGAGGAAGAGGTGTCATTTCACGAGGTACCTTTAACCAGACACCAGCCCATTTTGAATGCTTCACTGGTTTAACATCCAAAACCAAAACTGCTTGGTGTAAGCTGAGGCTTCCAAGCTTACAGCTAACAGCAACAGGCTGGATGCATGAGATGTTTTCTCATTTTTAATAGGTACAGGTGTATATGGACAGTATTAGAAAGAAATACTACTTCTCAGCTGTCTTGGGTATTTTGGATCTAAGTCAAAACTATCTCAATGAACATGTTAGAAGAAAGTATGATTTGACAAAACAAAAACCCAAAAATGTCATCTGCTCAAATAACTTCTGATTTTATGGATACAAGTGCTTCGAGTGAACAAAGTTCCCACACAAATAACCAAATGGCCATTTAATCGTGTTTGCCAACTCTTTGGCTTGTGGACTGGGTCTGGACTTTACAGCTTGGTTTGCCCTTTCCTTGTAGAACGAGGTCTGTTGAAAAGTGCTTGCCAGCTTCAACTCTTGAATAAAAATCTAAAGTGCTACCAGATTCTGAAGTACCCTTTTATTCTGAGAGTTCATTTTCATTTTCTTGTCATGGCTTGCAGTAAACACTCTAGCAGCGATGTTGAACAGTGGAGTGTAATTATACTAAACCAAACCCTTCACTGTTACTAATAATAGTGGGATACAACCAAACAAAACAAAGGGGAGAACAAAAAAAGATAATGAAGGGGTTTTTTAAAGGATTAATAATTTTTTTTTTTCTGCAAACATCTTCAACTTTTACTAGGAAATTTAGGAAACGTCAGGGAAAAGAACATAGAATGAAAAATAAAATTAAGGCCAAGCTGTCTCCTTAAGTTTGGCTCTTCTGTGACGTTAGAGAAAGCTAAGCACACTTAGTATACTGTCCTTATTCACAACAATGAAATTCACCTCTTTCAAACCATAACAGGAAAATGAGTTTTCTGCAGCAGACAATTAACCCAAGCCATGCAGCACTTGGCAATTATAGTATTCACTGTGTACGACTACATTATAACAACGCACTCTGCACAAGTCCTAGCACTTCACAAGGAGGTTGGAGAAAAGCCTGTGACCCAGTGAGTCAATGTCCTTCTCTTCTCCATCCCTTCTTTATGTAAGGCACTTTGTTTTTGTAGAAGAGCTTGCTTTGCATTGTTATCCTTCCTAGCAAGGTCAGAGAAGTGCGAAGATTTGCTATTTCTTATACTACTTTACTACTTCTCTCTGTTTGGTTCCATTTCTACACCAATAATTCTGGGACCCACAAGTGCTTCCCAGCTCTCTGGAAACGTACACGCTGGTCACGTCCTGACCTAGATGGGACTGATATGCACCATCTGCCTATTGTCCTTCTTCCCATCCTTCTCTAGGGCCTGGTTACCTGTTAGGGATGATCAGGGGACCAGGACTCCCACTGTTTAGACACAGCTGATCTGAGCAAAGCTACAAAATAAGTAAAGTTCATCTTTATTCCTCTTACCTACAACTGCACGAGGACTCTAGCAATTTTTAAAAGCACTATCACACATCTGTAATGAACTGTTACAGACTCTCACACTTTTAAACGTGGCCAAAATCCTACTTTGTGCCTGAATTGAAACAAAACTTCTCTAGAAACAGACGCACAAAGAAGTTTCTGTTTTCTGGGAGATGAAAAGCTAACCATTGCTACCAGGGATTAATTGGCATGGCTTGGTTACTCCTACTGAGTGTAGAAGATCAGCATTCCAATAAGGATGGACTAATGGACTAATCATGCTTTAGTAATTATAGCTTTTTTCTGCTCCAACCCATAACTTGAATTTAGCAGTATATTTTTAGAAGAGTCCTTTGATCCCAGTACCTGAAACGGAGAGGAAATCATCTACCGAAGTGATGTCGTCAACAGCTTCGGTGAGAACTCGCACTTGTTTCTCCCACTGATCTTTAAAGACGTCCATGTTGTCCTGTGCTACTTTGCTCTGGGGTCTGGCAGCCAACGTGAGGGCAGCATTTATTACCTGTTATTCAAAATCACTCATTAAGAGGAGCAGCATTTTTTTTTTTTTCACAAGGGAAAGAACAAATAGATTACAGACTGCGTTCAAAAGACAGCATTACAGCCCATGCGAAATGCAGGTCTCAAGACATGGATGTATTCATAGAAAGCAGGCAACAGCGTCATGACAAAGGCAAGGCTATAATCTTCAGCTAGGCTGTTTTCCCTGTCTCAGCTAACTGATGCTTTGTAATGCCAAAAGAGTTCTCGAGTACTTTTTAACAGGAATCTTACTTACCTGTGGGCACAGACTATCAATCTGTGTCGCTGCCATACGGACTAACTTCACACCTTCTTCATTATTCGAGATTGAACAAGCCAGATTTGCAACCTGCAATGAAGTCAGTGGAATGAGAATCAAGTTTCAGGCAAGCGGGCCACTTTATACATTTCTCTCTTCTTATCGAGCCTTGCCCAGAATGAAAGAATTGCATACAAGAGGAATGATACAGCACCTTCTGTGCTGCTGAACAGAAACCCACGTAGATTATTTCCTTACTAGCAAACTCAACTAGCCATCTCTCCTAGATTTTTCTCAAAATCTTCCCTCACTGTCAAATGTTTCACATCCTCCTCTACAGAAGTCATACAGACAACGTATAGCATCCAGACAATTATCTATACATTTCCTTTCCTCACAGTTTCCTTTTAATTTTATTAACTTCATTGATACTGGGAAGTTACATATTTCTCAAGTATCTTAATTGTTTCACATCTTGATGGTTTTATGCACGTTAATTTTTTTTTTTTTTTTTCAATTCTCAGATGGACCTATTTATTTCTGCGTGATTGTCTGCCCTAGATTATAATGTGTATTAGCAAGAGTATCATAACTTGGTCATGTGCAATGTCTCCGTCAAAAGCCTCATTCTGTAATCTCCACCAGAGGAGCTCATTCAAAGATGCAGGTATCTACATGTGCTTGCTCTGGCACCTCTGTGCCTTGGATGCAAGAGGCAGAGCATCTTCTTCCAGCCCCTGCTGCTTCTTGCAAAAAATCCATTCCCAAAAGCTTTGTGCCAAGTCCATGAATCTGCCATGGGTTTTCCAAAGAGCAACTCACATCACAGTGCACATAATTAAGCTCATTGGTGATATTTAAATAACAAAGGTACATTCTTGGAGGGGGAATACACATTTTTTTTTTTAATCATCCAAAACTATGGCTCTTCATTCTAATGTACATTAAAACAAACTTATACAATTTTAAATATGCTTCCTTGATATTATTCACTGTGCCTGAAGGTATAACTATCAGTTGGAAATGATTCATGAATTAGTTCAAATACCCCCATCTTTCCAATTTTCCTCCAGTCTCCCCTTGCGGTATTAATCTGTTCTCATCTCCAGTGCACATCGCCACATTAGCCCTGGTCCATCTGTTCTGCATAGAACCTATTTCCCTTCACAATGCTGGAGAACGTGGTTTGCATATATCACGGTGCCAAAGCCCAGGGAAGAAAAGAACCTAAGGCTTCAAAGAGTCTTGCAGGCATTTCCTAGTCAAGATTTTATCATAATGTTGTGATTTTTATTTTCATTTCATGGTGAGACAAATGAGTTAGTCTGTTTGTTAACAGCCTTACAGCTCTCATGTCAAAAACGTTCTCCTAAGCTGACATCTTCCAATTAATTTACCATTTTCTGTAGTCACTTCTTTGCACACATCAAACAGACCACTTTAATCTTCATGAGAAACAAAAGCTAAGCAGGATACTAATTAGAATACATTAACTTGAGTAGAAATTACAGACCTTAAAAACTAGCAAATGGTATTAAGTTCAGCAAAAGCCATCTTCTTCTGTTTTAAATAGGTGGTTTTCCAGATTGCCCTTTCATTTTGTGGTTATCATGATGAAAGTCTGTCCTAAGGCTCCAGATGCACCATATATCTTACTTTTTCTCAGGTAGCAGTGACATACATGACTGAAAGGGGCTGGCTGTCATGAAACTGCAATCAAACTATTAAGCAGGTCTTTGAGTTCTCTTGGAAGAGATTTTTGCAGAAAAAAAAAAAATCAGTGAAAACAAAACTGATTTCTTCTCTCTGTTATTACTCTTTCAATAGAATCTGATGAGATAATATTTGGATACTGTAAAGTGTCCCGGTTTTCCAAGGAAGGATACAGACATAACCAGAGAAAACTTTTTGTTCTTTTTTGTTAAATAATTCAGAGTTCAGTGCATTGTTTTGGACGTTATTATCAATACAGAAGGATTCAAATATAATCTATGGCTATATTAAATATGCAGCAAAATAACATTACAGTTATCTGTTCTAAACAAATAATAATGATACATATCGTGTATAATCTTAATCTAAATAGTTTCTCTGGTATATTTCAAGTCCTGTATCATCAGCAGTCAGGAAGCTACACTACTTCCACAATTCAGCAGGGAGTATGCCAGCCTGTACCAAGGGAAGATCTGATTATGTCAAATAAGCATAGCGATAAGCAAATCCTACAAAGGTAGATGAAATCTGGATAAAACTGAATTTAGCACTACAAATCAGAAATACTATGACTTTACTCAAAACTTATTTTTAAAACATAGCAAGAAATGACATTAAAAGCCTCTGTTTCAGTACCATCACGTAAGCATGGATCTGTGAAACAATACAAGTTTTAAGTGCACTCAATCAGCAGATACAACACTTTAATTATTTTGATTGACTGTGGTATCAAGCAGACAATCAAGTTACCATCAGTTGAGATTCTTGGCACAGCAAGGTCCATATGCATTCTCCTAGTCAACAGAAACCATGAGGTAATTCTATATGTTTTAGCCTACTATAAATTCATCAGCTTCACATATTACTCCTACCTAAAACTATGACCAAAAAAGCCTAGACCCAATTTCACCTCACTTAGCTGAGAGACTTTGGTTAGGTGCCAAACTCATCTCTTTGGATAAGGGACAAAAAGAAACAGGCACTTCCAGAGACTGCTTCAGGTCTTTGGTTGACTACCTCATCCTCTAGATGTGTTTAGTTTATTATTTAAACTTAGATTAGAGCTGACAATTGTCGAAAAAGGTATTACTGAAATAAAAGCGGTTTTAATGGTGCGTTACAACTTATTTTGCATGTGCATATTTAATACATGTTTTTTGAAGAACGCAGACTCTTCAAGGTTGGGAATTTATTTAATACACCACTCCTGAGCTGGATGGAGCAGATAGCTTGGAAATGAAAATAAAAGGGCTGTATATTATCATAGCTGCCAATTTGCCAAAACTTTGATTTGACAGCCTTTACCTTTACGCTTCAAGTGCTCTATCTCCAAAGCATTGAAGAGGTTTCATGAGAGGCTGTAGAAGTAACCAGGTAATTAATTTTTCTTTCTTTCTTTTTTCTTTTTTTTTTTTTTCCTGTTTACTAAGTACCTTGACCATACTGAATTCACTGATTGCCCAAACAGAACTTAAGTTCGTATTAAGATCAATGCGAACTGCCTGAAGAGTATTTATATGAATGAATACATTTTAAGTACCAAAATCGACGAACTGTGAATCATCCTCAAAATGCGTGGAGAACTTAATAACAGTGAAACTGCTGGGAAGATAAACATTATTGTCCAGAATTTCAGGTCTGCTAAGCTACACTTATACCATCAAAACAATTGCTAAACACCTTAAACCTGTCCTGCAAGAGCACTGAAAAGTAATGAGCAAGAAAATAAACACTCCAGCTCCAGTGATGCTGTATTTTTCTGCAATCACCAAAGTCACTGAACCAATCCTAGAGTTGGGGAGGTGAAAACGTGTGCACTAACTCCTTCGCATCAATTTCCTGTCACTGGCACTGATAGCCCAAGATGCAATTCTGCACCTTGCTAGGTATCTATCTTTAATCATGCAAATAGTTCCATTAGTTTCAATTATTCAAAATATATTCAGGATCGGTCCCAATAAAATGTATTTGCATGTATTTGGTTGCATTTAAGCCTCAAGCAGTTTTCTCCTGTATAGCAGATGCGGGTAGGGAAGGATTTAATTTCTAATGCAAATGTTTATTACTGTTGTTGAAAGTACATACCAAGGACAGGTTTTATTCTAAAGATATACTTATATGGCAGCTAGAGGTTGAAGTATGGTATGAATAGGCAATGCCTAGACTAGTTTTTCACTAGCTAGCAACTGAAGGGTGGATTAGCAGTTTTTCATTGTTTTTGCCATGCATACTACCTAGGACAGAAAAACTTTATTTCTGCCATGAAACTGCACTCTAAGTTACAAAAGTAATCAAGGATCTTTCATACCAATTTATTTTTACACTGATGAAAATTAGGTGTAGTTACCTTTCACTGTGTTTTAAACTAGACTACTTCAAATTTTGACTGGAGCTCTTGTTATTATTAAACATAATTATGACAATCAATATGCATTGTCTCCTGGTTCAAATTTAAATTCAAAGATTTAATATGGCCACTCTGAACATACTGTATGTGAAACGGTCCAAAAAAGAAATCCATCACTTAGAGCAAAAATGTAAAAAAAGGGAGCAGTATATGACACAGCAAAGGAGCGAACAAAGGCTGCAGAACATTGCAGCTGATGTATGTCTTCTACTTTTTCTTTTGCTTTTTTTTTTTTCCCCCCCACCATGCTTAAAGATAAAAAAAACCTCCATTCGGCTTCCCCTGCCATTTAACCATTATTTAACCATTCTAAGGTAGAGAATGCAATCTACTCATGTCTTGTATTTACAAAGAATACACAAAACTGCTTTCTTTTTACTTTTGTTATACCTGTCTTTCCTATTTATGTCATTTATTTTTTCACTGTAATTAACCGATGGAAATATCAGGAAGAAGGAAATTGACAGCAAGGTTTTTTTTTTGTTGGTTTTTTTTTTTGTTTTTTTTTTTTTTTTTTTAGGGAAATAATAAATTACATACACCCAAGACACCATTGAGCTTACGTATCTAACACACATTTGAGAAACCGAAACTTTCTGAGTTATTCAGCTTGAGTTGAAGTTGGTTTAAGTAAAAGACTTCTATAACATTTGCAATGAACTAAAGCCAAGCACATAGTTACCATGTTTCAGCTGATGAGTGGTAACTTGCTGAACTGTGGTGTCTTGACTATTTTTACTTATTTATCCATCCACTCAGTAATTTATCCAGATATTGTTACAATCTCCAAACCCTTCAAATGTTGACATATATTAATGTTGGTACTGCAGTAGGCAGCCCAGTGATATTCATGGAGCCACAAATAAGAGATTTTTTTCTAAAGGAGAGCACAGAGTTGACGCTAAATTACCCAAGATTTTCAACTTATTTATCCTCACTCTAGTCACTCAAGCATTGTATTATGATCAAA